GATTCGAAGAAAAAGCCAAAACAAAGCAAAATCATTATTATCAGCCATCGAAATGAATTAATCAATCCAGTAAACAACAACAAATTTTCGGACGAAAGAGATGTCGTGGAGTATAGAACTCAATGCTTTTTGTAATGTAATAGATCGAGTTTTGACCGCATCCAAAGAAGCCAGCAGATTCTGCTCATTTGTTGATCACTCCTGTTGTTTGTTCTGAAAGACCGTTGTTCACGGGGTACATAGCTTAGCGTATAAGTCGTAGACGGTCATTAGTTAGTCGGGAGTGATGTTTTCGATCGTCTCCGTTCAGACTTTCGGCGAATTAGCGTCACCTTGTGCTCTTCCACTGATGATCCGAATTAAGACGGTTCAAAAAAGCTAAGCACACTTATTCATGCCCGTCACCTGGACCTGGTAGTGAAGAGGTTAATTTAACACTACGTTCCATGCCTCTCAACTTCTTCAAAACCTTCATGCAGCATCGATTCTAATCGCTCATGGAAATTTCCCGAACGTTCGTTTCCAAGAGCGATTATAATTTCTGCTCACGCGTGAATGACTTGAAGCTAGTGACTTCGATTGAAAAACTGGAGTTCACAATTTTCAGTTTATGTTTCTGAAAATTCCATTGCGCTTGGGTTCTCTACCTTCTTCACCCATTACCCGTTCCTCATTAATGCTTGGGTAAGATTGGGACCGATTACGAAACTGAGCGAGAAAAGATCATAATATCATGGCATCATAAGTGCATGTATTATCGGGAAGATCTGCTTGTTTCTTCAATTTCTTAAGGGCTGACTTTCTTTCCAGCTGTTTTTTTCATTTTTGTGAATCACCTATTTCCTTTTCTAAGACTTCTTTTATTCCCACAATGGGCGACTCGCAAGTTCGATAACTTGTAAGTTCAATGTGTCCCTGTTTCGATTCTTCTGAGACGGTTGCCTTGGTGATTTTCGTTTTCGCTCCTCGCTCTCATCGACCCTAAGTTCTGTGGTTTCTCCAGATCTCTTGCTGTTAAAACAGAAGCTCTTGTCCTTTTATACTTTTAGTAATAGTATGTCCCAATGGATGCTCAAATGCAAATGAATACCAACCACTTCAATTGACCTTCACTTCCTCGAATTCGGGATATTGAAACAACAAGCAAATTTATCAACAATATTAGAAAGCTGACAACAATAAATTTTAAGCAAGAGAAAAAAGTCGAATAAAATGAAATTGGGTCCTATGATCCCACTAATACCGCTTTTGCACCAAATTCCAGGTGTTTCTTTCGGATTACAAAGATATTCTTCACAAGCCAACTCTTCTTGCTTGGTTTCGAATCACTTTTGTGATACCCTACAAAGGCGTTAAAGCACTGCCGCTCCCGGTTGTCGCATCCAACGCCTCGAATTTTTGAAACCTCTTTTGTCCTCTATCCTATGACATAAGCCATCAAGAGGGCGAAGGCATCAAGAGGTCCCGATAGTGTAAGGGATAAGAGCAAGGTGCCCGAATACCACAAGTACGGGTTCGATTCCCGTACGAAGACGAAGTTTTGTCCACAACTTGCCAACTTTGTTGTCTATCTAAGCCACTTTTCAACCCAACAACGTCCCATGGGATCCTTGGGGAAAAGAGAACCGTGTGAGGAGGTAAGAAGCTTTAGAAATGATTTTTATCGTGAACTATGTCTCCAAAAGTAAAGACGCACCCTTTCCCTTATGCGAACGATTACCTTACAGCTTTCAATCCACTTTGTTAGTAATTATAACATAGTAATTATAACATTCATTTTAAAGTTCAAAGCTTATGATAACAGAAGTATAATGGGAGGCGGAACGTACGTATTGAAATTTCCGTACATGAAAAAACCGACATAGTACTTTAAGGCTTGGCTTCGTTCATCGGCATCTCTCATCACTGTTGTTTCGCGAAGTACCGTATCAAAAAACGACAGCCCCGATCAGGATACTCTTCAGTACCGTCTCGAAGAGTATGAACTGTATTAGCCCAGAAGTGCGATTCCCAGAAGATGGTACTACTTCCAAATCGGCTGGCTCCTCTCACGAGCTGAGGCTACACCTCTTCATTTGTCACTTAAAGTGCCTTCTTGAAACTGGGCATTGCAACTGTTGCATTTGGCACCCCTTAAGAAGCAACTTTATGGATCTTTTGAAAAATTGAGTTGGCCACTGAAGCTAATGGCAAGAGCATGCAGTAGTTACTCGTATCTCGTATTAATCTCTCGTATTTCGAATAAATTAGTTCAAGGATTGTGACGATCTGCAGCAATTAAGTGGAAACGCATAAAAGTTTGAGCTCAACCTGTTCCACTTTTGGCATGGGCCACAGCATTTGATTTC